ACGAAACAGAATTATAGTTAGTCTCCCCATGACTGCTATCACCTGCTTGAAAATCATTCCTTAGATTTAACACATGCAAGTTGTTTATTATTACATTTATGGTATATTGCGATTGACTTAAAATGTGAATTATTATTTTATTGAAATTATTACCGGTATTATTATTTTTTTAATTAGGGGTTTGACATGTGAAGAAGCACAGCTAGAATACATTTTGATTGCTCAACAACTAGAGGGATATGGTGATGAGTATTACCCTGCAAAGGTAAGCATCCATTAGCTATGTAATGAATGATTTCATAGCAGCTGTGTTAAATTCCTTTATGTTACAGGTATGATGTTGATAATGGTTGATTTTTTTTTAAGTAATTGAAGGCTCTGTGGAAACAGGCCGGCTATTCTGACTTGATATCAAAATGGTATCTGGTCCAGCTACTTCATTGAGTGAAACATTCTCAGGGATGTCTCAGGGATGTCTCAGCATCACTGTAAGATTTTGTCAACACTTAAATTAGGCCCTATTAGTTTTGCCAAGTATAGCCCCTTTCCTTGCACATGCAGCTCCTTATTGCACCTTTGGCAGCCAAGTATGGGAAAAGTTATTGAAACCCTTGATACTGGTGCATTGCTCTTCCCAGCCGAGGCACTAAGCCATTTTGTAATTGGTTATCCCCCCAAAAAAGTCAAGATAAAAATTCTTGGATGGGATCACTGCATCAAAATATAAACATATGATTTTTTAAGTAAGACATATTAACAGGTACGAATTTTCCTTTTTTTTTTTAGGACTATGATGGTTCTATTATTCTAGTGGGTGCATCATTTCTTGGCATTGTAGTAAGACATTCTCATGGGTTGCCTCCTGCATATTTCAGGTTTGATATGATTGAAATCACAGTTATGTCATGGTTGTGGTATCTTCAATTTCAACAGTGATGAATTGCCAATAGAATTCAAATGCCTGTTTTGAGAGATATGCCCTGTATTGTAACCTGGTTGAAATTTCTAAATTTGTGTTCCTATGCAATACAATGCACTTTTACAAGCCTCTCTCCTACTAGGGGTGTTAAAAGGTATTTGCAATCAGTTAGAAATTGAGACATACTCTTACTGTGTTGGTCACTTTCAATTGTTAATCATACTTAACCTACATTGTTGTTTACAGAGTCATGCATATCGGGACTTGGTGTTTTACACAGTGTCTAGTATATTTTTCATCCCACTTGAGTGCTTTGCACAACATTTACTACAACTTAAAGAACTTTCTTATTTCATGGTTAACTATCGTTTTCTCCCAGAGCTTTTCCCCTTATACTTAGAAGACTTACTTGACTGACATTGTTTTTTTTTTGTCATTTAATTCCAGATGGCCTGACATTGTTCGCATTACTCACAACAAGAAGTACTTTTGTATTGAAAGTGCTAAATCATTTGATATCATTCAGTTTGAAATGGTAGAGCTGTAACATCTTTTTACATAATTATAATATCTACACTCTAGTAAATTGAGTAAGATATAAGTGTAACTTAATTTTTGACATTCAGTTTCTTTTCTCAGCAATCTTTTGATTGCAGTTATTTAGTTACATCCTGCTCTCCAGCTCAACCCTTTAACTCTACAGAAGTGATTAACATGTATGATATCTCTACTTGCAAATTATCCAGCAGAAAGGTCATGAGAATACCAGAAATTGTTAAGTAGAAGTTGTTACCTTGATTTAAAGCCAAATTTTCATAACTATGTCAGGAATTGTGTAGAAGCTAGAGAATTAACAGTCAGATCTTGGGATTTTAATGGTTAATTAGGCTTTTGTAGCAGTAAGTAAGAAGGGGCTAGTGTCACTTGAAAGCATTAAGTGCAGGTGTGTCACACTTAGGGATGTCCTCTAATAGCCACAACAATAAATAACTGTCTTAAGCCCAATGTATTACCTTCTACAGGATGATGCACCAACAGCTAAGTATGTTTGGCGGATGTTTGTAGCTCATCATCAGTTTTGCCGCTTGAATTTATCCAGGTCAAGCACACGAGCATCTACCACAAAGCACCAACCTCATGACATGTAAGTACAGTGACTTGTTAAACATACAAAACAGGCACACTTTCATATTCACTGAAAATGAGTCAAAATACTGCCAGAAAAAGGAATGTTTCATAGGGAAAGTCTCATTATGGGAGGAAGGTGAAAAGGTTTAAGGATTGTTAGATTTTGCCTCAAGAAACACATAGGGTGCAGAATTTTTTTAAATCAGTTGATAAGTGGATTTGAAAAATAAACTAGTTTCTAGATTGACTGATAATTTCAAATCCTGCATTCTGTTTGTTTGAATTGTTTGTTTGAATTGTGTATGGCTTCATCATTCTTTGAGGTGGATTAATTTGTAGCTATCAACCTGGCTAGCCAACCTACTCAAAGGCCAGTAAAAACAGAAATTTCTGCTTCAATCTGAATTCCAATAAAGTAAGAGAAACTACCATTCAGATAAACCTTCAATGGTTTGAACCCACTGTAGGTTGACCAATATAGGGCCAAAATGTTAACAGGGATCAGAAGATTGGATCACTTTGCCTTCTGCAATTGTACATATTAACTAGTTATACATCTCTACTTATTTAAAGTGATAGCGGTAATACCATGTACATGAGCAAGACTTATTGACACATAATTTATATTGTACAGGACATACAGTACTTTGTAGATCACATTTACACTTTGTTAATCAACGTTATGCATGTACTGAATCACATTAACTTCTGTGCACTTTTTTACCATTTGCAAATTTCCTAAGTTCCTCACAGTAAGGAGCATGTAGGTTTTGCCTTGAAAAGATTTGGTCTGTGACCTGCTCAGAGAGAGTTAACTCTTATAACTTTTGTCATTGTGCCATTGATACAGACCTAGTGTCAGCATTACCAGTATTACCAACTTCTAGGTGTCTTCACACTGTAGTTTAAAGAGTTTTTTTTCTGTACATTTTGAAGATTGAAAAGTAATCACAGCTTTTATTTTAGAGGTCAGCGATTTTTTAGAAGTTAGCTCTGATTCACAGAGCTGCTTTTTTAAGGTGTATTTCAGCTCTATAAGCACTCAGTTGTATAGTAACCTCATACCTGCTTGGAATGTGTATGCTGCTCTGAATCTGTTTTTTTTTTTTTTTTTTCATGTTTTTTTTTTGTGGTGATTGCTGCTGTTACTTTAAGTCATTGGCAAAGGCAGTGCCAAACTTTTCTTTGCAATGACTGATTATGTTTGCCTTTTAGGTCTTGAAAAGCCTGGAATATTATATCTGTTGCACTCTGCTTTTGATGCTCTCTCACTGGGGCTCTTCTCTTGGTGTAGTGGTCATCTTGTCTCTCCTATTCTTCATGTACAACTCATAAATTCAACTCAGTAGAACTTCCAAGATATTTTTAGTAATTATCCCCTCTCACTGTTGTACATTTCCCTGCCATTTACAGTCAATATTAACACCTTCCAGCTGATGCATTTGTTAATTCCTACCACCTGTGAACTGGATAATGTATTGACTTAGAAGGATATTCACGTGTTTGCCACTTCTAAAATTGCCAGGGGTAAAACGTTTGGCAGGGGTAAAACGTCTGGCTTGGCAGCTCACAAGTTTTCTGGATTTCCATAATTTCATTGTTGTGTCATTTTCCTCACACAAACTTTGTTGGGTCATCATTTGACTTTCAAGCAGTGATACTATTAAAATCTCGGTGTAACTCTGACAATATTCTGATGTGATCATATCATCTTTGTCTTTTCTTTCTTTTTTTGTGCCATTAAAGGAGACACATGCCTCACACTAACATATAGTGACCATGTTTATCTTTTGTTTTGTACCACCCGATTCCTGATAACTGTGCACTTTGTATTTTTACTTCTCTTGCATGTTTTTGGATATGTATTAGTAGCTTTGGTTTTCTTTCAGGATGTCAAAATGTCAATCATTGTGACAGTCATCATCTGTTTCTGAAAATCCTTTGTAGCAGTTCAATTTTGCTTATATTTACAAGTTCAACATGATTTCTTGTGCAGTAAATGGTTTGAACCCGGGGGTAACATGTGAAAGTGTAGTGTGTTCGTCCGGGTGAGTGTAGTCCTGAGAAGGACTGTTGTCGGTGGTAGTGACTGACGTTTCGACAACCTGCGCGTAAGTCGTCATCAGAGTCAGTAGAATGTTCCTAGCCCAGTTTATGTAAAATGATTGTTCAGTTTTGCCGTGATGTTATTGGCTGTAAGACTCAAGTGGTGTAAGTCGGTCGTGATTGGTCTGTTTCGACCGTCGGTAAAGTTAGGAAGATGCGCCAGATGTTCTCGGACCACAGGGGGCCCAGACAAGCGACGAGTCTGGTTGTTTATTCGAAATATAAAGGAATGTATGGGAGAATTTTAAAGAGTCTTATTATCGTAAACTTATATCATGAAATGTCTGAGTTAAAGCTCAAAATAAATGTAAAACTACCTCACTTGCTGTGTATTGTCGTTTCTGTGGCTCTAAATTATGGCGAATTTGAGCGATTTGGTGGATTTTTAGAGCCACAGAAACGACAATACACAGCAAGTGAGGTAGGTTTACATTTATTTTGAGCTTTAATTCAGACATTTCATGATATAAGTTTACGATAATAAGACTCTTTAA